CAAAAAAAAAAAAAAAAAAAAAAAAAGAAAGGTATATTTATTAAAGGAAAGATACATTCTGAGGGGCACAATGGGCAGGACAGCAGCAGAAGTATCTGCTGTCTACCCAAAATTTCTAAGTACTGTTTGTACCTTAAGTTAGTGGTCCTCCCTCTCATTTTTTAAAAGAAGAGTTAAGTAACTAAAATTTTAAAAATAATATACTATACAGTGTACAGTAAGTCCCCTGCATACAAACAAGTTCCATTCTGAGAGCACATTCGTAAGTCCAGTTTGTTCGTAAGTCTAACATAGTTAGCTGAAGTACACAACTAACACTATCAGCTACAGTACTGCACTGTAATAGGTTTGTAATACTTTTCACACAAATAATACATTAAAAAAAAGAAACACAAAAAATAAAGGAAACATTTTAAATCTTACAGTATCTTGAAAAGTACAGTAGTACAAGTGAATTAACTTATGTGACTAGACATGTGAACACAAATTCGCATCTCTGAAAGTTTGGAGACTTACTGTATTTAATATCTAGAGTTTCCTTTTTTTTTTTTTTTTTTTTGAGTTGGAGTCTCACTTTGTCGTCCAGGTGGGAGTGAAGTGGCACACTCACGGCCACCCCAGTGTCGACCTGCAGGACTCCGATGATCCTTCCGCCTCAGCCTTCCAAGTAGCTGGACCTGCAGGCACGCGCTACCATGCGCAGCCAATTTTTTCTATTTATTGTAGAGATGAGGTCTCGCCAAGTTGCCTGGGCTGGTCTTGAACCCGCAAGCTCAGCAATCCACTTGTCTCGGCCTCCTAAATCCTGCTGGGATTACAAACTGAGCCACTAAGTCCAGCCTAGAGCTTCCTTTTTTTAAAAAAAATCCATCTGGTAATCTAAGCAATAATTTAAGTAAAAAGTTACTTTAAATTTATTAGTCTCAGCCAGGCATGGGGGCTCATGCCTATAATCTCAGCACTTTAGGAGGCTGAGGTGAGAGGACTGCCTGAGCCCAGCGGTTTGAGACCAGTCTGGGCAACTTGGCAAGAACTCATCACTACAATAAATTTAAAAAATTGGCTGGGCATGGTGGCGTGTGCCTGTAGTTCCAGTTACTTGGAAGGCTGAGGTGGAAGGATCACCTGAGCCCAGCAGGTTGAGGGTGCAGTGGCCGTGAGTATGTCACTGCCCTCCAGCCTGGGCAACAAAGTGAGACTCCAACTCAAGGGAAAAAAAATTGATTAGTCTCAGTCTCTAAGAACCACTTTATGCTGTGGGCAGAAAGATAATTTTTCCCCCTTCTGGGCTCAGAAAATTCTGTTGCCTCAGCCTCCCAAAGTGCTGGAATTATAGGCATGAGTCACTGTGCCCAGCTTATTTATTTTTTAGAGACAGGATCTTGCTATGTTTCCCAGACTAGTCTTGAGCTCCTGGCTTCAAGCAATCCTCCTGCCCTGGCCTCCTAAAGTGCTGGGATTATAGGTGTGAGCCACTGCACCCAGCCAGATTCTGTATTTCTGACAAGTCCCCTAACATCCCAGTGCTATACTGCTACTATCCTATGCACCTAGCACTATGCTGTGATCATAGTAGGTTGTCAATGAATATCTGAGGAGTGTACAAATATATATCAATAGTCAAAAAAACACAGAAGTTTGATTTAGTATTATATACAATTCATTATTTTAACAAATTATATATTTAAAAAAAAAAAAAAAAGAAGAAAGAAACAGAGAAATTTGGTGATGATGGATTTAATAGTAAGAATCACTCCTCCTACTTATAGGTATCAGTTTTCTTAGTCATGCCATTCATCAAATAACTATGAAAACTGTTCTGTCGGGCTCGGTAGCTCAGCCTGTAATCCCACACCTCTGGGAGGCTGAGGTGAGTGGACTGCCTGAGCCCGCGGGTTCGAGACCTGACTGGGCAGCGAGACCTCATCTCTACAATAAATAAAAAAAGTCAGCCGGGCATGGTAGCGCATGCCTGTAATTCCGGCTACTTGGAAGGCTGAGGTGGAAGGATCGCCGGAGCCCAGTAGGTCGAGGCTGCAGTGGCCGGGAGTAGCCACTGCACTCCAGTCTGGGTGACAGAGTGAGACTCCAACTCAAAAAAAAAACAAAAAAACAAAACAAAACTAAAAACTGTCCTAGGGACCTCCCCTAGCAGTGCCCTAAAAAAGGAAGCTTTCTTCATATTCACCTTCTATACGTATTTTTACATTATATTATTTCTCCATATTCTATTATGGTTTTTATCTTCTTATTGATTTGTAGGCCAATAATCCTAATATCATTAATTACATGATAGAGGCAAAGAGAGTAGGAACAAGAAGAAATATACTAAGTCTGTATCAGTGAACAGGCTTCAACAAGGGTTTTTGCCAGTCACATACCTCGCATAACAATGATGGTCTGGTGCACTCAACGCACTCCACATTATTTAAAGCAAATAGTTTCTATGCATACACCTGGCATCTGGCTCTTGAATGACATAACTCACATCATAACACATAAACTCACCTTGCTTCTAATCAAGATGCTCACTTCGCCAGACTCTACGATGTAAAAGCTATCAGCCTTTTCACCCTGAAAGAAGAGAGGAGGTCAGGTCAGACCCAAGCATAGTATTAAAGGGGGACACAGAAACAGACTGTTTTCTCACTACTTAAGCTCTGATTTGTATCTGTTTTTCAATTCTACTTATAGATACTTATATATTAATAGCTAACAAACTCAGAGCAAAACCAGAGGATCCTGGTCACTGGGGGCATCCACTCAACTACAACTGATAGATCTCTCACCTCTTTTTTTCTTTTGAGTTGGAGTCTCACTCTGTCGCCCAGACTGGAGTGCAGTAGCCGCTCCCGGCCACCGCAGCCTCGACCTGCTGGGCTCTGGTGATCCTTCCGCCTCAGTCTTCCAAGTAGCTGGAACTACAGGCGTGCTACCATGCCCGGCTGATTTTTTGATTTATTGTAGAGATGAGGTCTCGCCAAGTTGCCCAGGTGGGTCTCGAACCTGCGGGCTCAGGCAATCTACTCACCTCAGTCTCCCAAAGGCACGGGATTACAGACTGAGCCACCAGGCCTGGCAACAGCGAAATTTAAAAGCCTGTCAATACTAAGTGTAGGTGAGGATGCAGAGCAACTGGAATTTTCACACAATGCTGGTGGGAATGCAAAATAGTACAGTCATTTAAAAAACTGACTGGGGGGTCAGTCTCGGTGGCTCAGCCTGTAATCCCAGTGCTTTGGGAGGCCAGGTGAGCAGATTGCCTGAGCCCGCAGGTTCGAGACCCGCCTGGGCAACTTGGCGAGACCTCATCTCTACAATAAATCAAAAAATCAGCCGGGCGTGGTAGCACAAGCCTGTAATTCCGGCTACTTGGAAGGCTGAGGTGGAAAGATCGCCAGAGTCCAGCAGGTCAAGGCTGTAGTGGCCGGGAGCGGCCACTGCACTCTAGCCTCAGTGACAGAGTGAGACTCCAACTCAAAAAAAACCCCAAAAAACTGGCTGGGTGTGGTG